CCAGACTGAGCTGAAGCAGAGCCCCTGGTGGGATGGTGTGGGTGAGTTCCCAGGTGAGACGGGTGCTCAGGGCAATACAAGCCTGTGAGTGGCTTCATGTGTGAGCCTTCATGGCCCTCACCTGCATTTTCAGTCCTACACATATGGATGTGAGGCATGCAGTGTAAGGTGCATGGGACACTAATTGAAACAGAAGCTAAACCCTTTACAGGAAGTGTGCAGTGCTTTGGAGAGGCAATCACAATAAATTTTGTCACTGCAAAATGTCTGTTTCCAAAACGTTTGGCACATTCACTTAATACAAAGGCACCTGATCAAACACAGACATGTCCTCCTTCCACAAAACCAACTAAGGCTAAAAACATTCCTTGCAGGAGGAGGGGCAAGGAACAGCATGATTCAGCACTCAGACACTGCCAGTACAAGAGCACACACACTCACCCTCACTTGACAAAGATGAACTATTGCAGCTTCAAGATTGCAACTATCCTTGGAGATCTCTGTTTGCATTACAATCCTTCCCTTATTTCTCCATGTCTTTCCTTCCAAGCCATCCCTGTGCCTCCTGCCCCCCTTCCACATACACCCACTGCTTGTTTTTCTCTGTGAAGGTCACTTCAAGATGTCTGGATGCAGCACGTGGTACCACTGTGCTAAACCGCTGAAGCCAGCTCCTGTGAGACAAAAGGCAACTTGGCAAAATTCAGGAAATTTCTCTTTTGAAAAGAGCATATGTTCATTCAGAAAGTCATGGGGTCCGTTCAACTTAATTTTAACAGCTACAAGGGAAAATAATGGACAATGGTTGTTTTGCTGGTGGTGGTGCTGATGTTGGGTTTTTTCCACTTTATATAACAAAGTTGGCTTCTGGTACATGTAATTATTTCTATTTCCAGCCTGCCCGGTACAAGGTGATACAGCTAAACAAGATTACTCGCAGATGGTTTCCAAACTAAACTACAATGCTAAAGGAAGCTAACTTACTAATGGAAATTATTAAAGCTGCTTGAAGCCCCCCAGACTGCTGAAGGGATTTTAAGGTTGCTGCACAGAGAGTTGTAGAGAGGGCCAGTGCCTCCAAGGAGAGTCCCCTGTGAGATGCCAGGGGAGCTAAAAGAGGCTCAGTGGCTCACAGACCCTATAAACACACATACTGCAACGGTGGCCAAGGATTGATTTTTGCCTGGTTGTGGCAGAAATGGCTGTACCAGAGGGACATGCAAGGTCTTACACGGAACATCAACAAATGCTGGAAAAGATTTTAGTGAAGAATCTTCTATTTTTTGAAGTTCACTTGAAATAACATACACACAGCTGATTCCGGGATGCTTTTAATCAAGATTCAGTGTTCAAATTTGAGTTTTCCTCTTGTCAGTATATCAGCCGTTATTTCTATCTAAAAGTTTCTGAAAATTGTTTAGAATTTGAGGACTAAGAGACGAGTGTTGAAGGCATCTCTTCAGCTCAGGCTAGGACTGGAGTCTAAACCAGTACTTTCTGGCAGCAGTGGGTCATCGTGCAACTGAAAGATGATCTGAAACCAGCCAGTTCTTCAGTTCAGACATGCAGGTAGCCTCACAAGACAATAGAAAATTAATTTCACTGCTCTGCAAAGTTAGACAAGGCATCTTTAGGCAGAATAAGGAGCTTTTCTCTAAATCCTTACCTGAGCAGGTTCCCTTAATAGCAGCCTTTCAAATCAAGAATGACAACCTAAACCTTGGTAGCAACTCCTGTCCTATGGTGCAAGCCATCTGCATGCTAGATGTCCTGCCAGAACAAAACCTGAGCACTGCAAAATTCTGTCTCAGCCACCTCTTGGTGTCCTATCTCCCCTCCTGTGATACCAAAGCTGAAGATGCTCTTTCTCTCAACAGAACATGTTGGGGTTATAAGCATAAATTGTAAGAACCATAGGCATGGTAACAGGGATTGGGAAAACCCAAGAAAATTTGAATTCAGACAATTCAATTGTAAATGCATCCCAGCAATTTCTACATCTTCACTACTGCTATGGACTTTTTAGATAATGCAAATTCTCCATTTGCTAAGTCTAGATATATTCTATAAATTACCTTGGTATTTTGCCCACATCTAATCCCCCAATGTATGTATTACTAGCAAAGTTAATTAGAATGAGAATGGTTTCAGAGCAAGAAGAAATTACCTGACAGCACTAAAAATGGGAATGCTCTGTGTGCTATAAAACTTGGGAACTGCACTTCAGGGTGTGAATATTTCCATAAGAAAGCAATTACATTGACGAGAGTTGATGGGTAAAATAGCCTGAGTAATTTGTATATGTGTGGGGAAAAGAGTTCAGAGACAGCTGACTGAGATGGGAATGGACATTATTATAATAGGAAGCAATTAGAAAACATTTCCTTCCCTTTTTTTTCTTTCTTTTTTTCTAAGAGTTTGATGCTGAGCTACAGTTTATTGCTGCTATAAAGAATGGCCTTGGAATCCAAGACTGAGCTTTTAAAAAGTGGTTGATACAACCAAAAAATAAGAGCCTGGTGGACAAGACATAGCATAGTGTGATACACTTTCTCTTCCCTAACTCATAAGATTTGGCAACACTATAATGCCAGCATATTTCATGACTTGAAAAATAAAAACCAAATGATTTTGTCATTGCTGTTCCTGCCAAGAGACATAGTTCCAGCTCCTTCACTAGGTACCAGTATACTTCAACTGTATTCTGCTTATGCAGCTTATAGCAAGGACAGGTACACATGATCCCCATGCAGTGTGCCAAAGGGAGAAGCAAAGCTCCAGAGAAAATATAGACCAGCCTTTTAACATGGTTTATACAGGAAGTGGCTTTGCATTGTGAAGAGGTGTTTGGGGATAACATTTTTGTGGCACGCATTTCTGTCAGAATCACCAACAGGTTATGGAATAATGCTGAAAATTGCATGTTAACTGCTACGTTTCCGAAGAGCCACACATACCACCCAGATGGATGGCATTTTGCATTCTCTGACATCTTCTCCACAGGGCTGTGCAGACCTGGCACGGGGGACTTTACCAGCTACAATGGGTGCACAGGGGAAAGGTCTTCTTTAGAAATCTAAAACATGGAATTTTATTTCAGTGGTGGGACAGGTCCCAGCTGCTCAGCTTTGCCCCTGCTTCCACCAGCCCTCGCAGGGCCCTGACATTCAGCTTGAGAAACTGGAAATGCATGCAGCTTAGCTGGTTTTCATATGAGGAATGTGGCTGTACATTTTAAAAATAAGCAATACTTATCTATCTATTTTTAATACATGCGTTTTAAAGTGCTTTAAAAGATAAGCAGTTATCGTGTGGTTAATAATTCATACGAAAATTCAAATAAATCGGGACAATAATGCATCAAAAGGCAACGATGCTGCTTTTCAAAATACTGCTCTTGGAGAACTCAGTGATAGGGAGATGAAGTAGAATTATGCAAAGCAACATGGTACGCTGACAGCAAGATCAGGAATTGAATAAAATATTCCAATATCCAGTTCAATGCACATGTTTACCAGATGCTATTCTATGTCATCATGGTTAACAGAAAGCCCTGACAGAAGAATTAAAACTAACGAGACTAAACCAAATAAAACACCAAAACCTTCCCAATTCCAATTCAAGAGGCTGCCTGAGTGGTAACATACCCCTTCCTATTCTAGAAATTTAACTTACAAGAATCTCCTTTATCTTCAATAAGAACAATTGCTGGCTTTGATTTCACTGATGGTCTTGAAAACACAGAATTCCTCCACTAAACTTTGTGGCATTAAACCACATACACCTAGACACAAGATGAGGCAGAGAGGTTTCATATAGATATACACCATGTTACAGTGTGAGTAACACATGGAGCACAGAAATGGCCAAAACTCAGCATGTTTCCAAAAGCACAAGAAAAAGAAAGAGGATTTGACATGTCTGTGTAAGTGTCCTCAAATGAAGACAAAAAAAACAAAGCCACAGTTTTAAGCTGCAGAAGTGTACTGAAGGTGAGTTATATTTTATTTCATTAAAATATATTTTAAAAACATACTGTGTAAAAGCATTAGGATTCTCAATAATTTATTATTTACATTAACAAATTCCATTTGACTGTCATTCTATAGATAAAAATGAAAAGTCTGCAGAAGGGAGTTGTATCAGCTTCTTCAGGACCAAGCAAGCCTCCTTTCCAAAAAACAGGTCCAAAAATGCATTCCTTCCCATTTCAATCCCTTCAAATTCATATTGAATACAGATCACAAAAAGCTCAATGAAAGTCACGTTGGTGAGTGCTGAGCACTCACAGTGAGGGCCAGGAATTCAGAGTGCTCTGCAAGAGAGAGACCCTGAGGAGACTTCAATGTTGTACTACCCAACAGACAAGTGGCTGCAGTATCCAATCCCACTCTGGCTCCCACTGGCCTCTCTCCACTGAAATCCATGGCATTTCACAACAACGAGGCCTGTACCCAGCCCCTCCAGGCAGATCTCAGAAAGCTAGACAGACTCCTTGAGGCAGCTTGGCAGTGGAGAGAGTGTTTTTCCTACCACTGTAGACACACTGCAGCTTATCCTTCTTTTTCAGTCCAAACACAACACAAATCTCATCGTCTTCCTTCCCATCCCCTGGGGAGAAATATGCACAGGGAATTATCTCTCTGATGTAAACAACTGTAAGCATCATCTACATATGCTGGTTCACACAAAAAAAACCATTGGTATCAAAGTGACTGCCATAGCCTTGACCCTTCTTAGCAGAGCAGCTCAGCTTTCCCATCAGCTTTCCAGACTTCTGAAATCATATGGGTACCTAAACATCATGCACAGTCCATTGCAATGCCAGCTGCTGTCTGCTTTACTATTCCAGGAAAGAGCAGTTGCCCTTTCAGCCATTATATAAAAGCCCATGATTAAAAGAAGTAAAGCCATCAGCTCATGTGTTCTGTTTTCTGGAGGCACTGAATGGTATTTCTGACATCTTGTGTAAGGCACCAATCATCCGGTAGCTGAGCAAAAAGTGGCCCACAAGACCTCCATTAAGCAACCGCAGAGGGAACTGACAAAGTTCAGCTGGTTTGCTTGTCTTGCTTACACAGCATGAAAAAGTGTGGTCACGCCATCTGGGGAAGATTCTGGTGGTATCCTAAAAGAGGAAGCCTCAGCTTGCACTACAAGCCAAGGAGCATGGGTGACAGTGCACTACAGCACAGATTTCCAATGGCTGTGTCAGAGTGACAATTCCCATAGACATCGCAGAGATTTCCTTGAGCCCCAAGGAAATGGGGCTCTGCTGCCTTGCTTTCACAGAAAATGAGTTTGTTGTCAGCAGCAAAGCAGTTACCTCCTTACAAGATGTCTCCATAACACACAACAGAGGACCACACTACAAAACCAGCTTTGTGGTGCACTTGCTGCAGCTTCTCTGCTGTTAGCCTTATTCACAGAGATGCAACGCCGGAGATAGCAGAGCCTATGGATGAAGAGGTTGTCTGGATGCTGGCTGACTGCATCACTCAGCAGCCTCAGTCCAGAATGTCAGTCTCAAATGGGACCAGATGGTAGTATGTCAAATTGGTGACATAAGCTGTTGGATCATCACTGTCTTCTAGCTCTGAGGTAAAGTCACTAACACTTTCGAACCTAAGGAGAAATGAAAAACAAACAAACACCAAAAGTCATTAAGTCATTAATGTCCATTTAGAAACTGAAAGGAATTGGAAGAAAGGTACTAAGGGAGAGGTAGAAGCACTTGGAGCTGATTCCATCCACACCTCCTCTTCCTCACAGCCATGTGTATATGAATAAACCGTATGCCAGTGAGAACCATGGTGCATGCCAACAAATAATCCTGTTACCCCTGACTTTCAAAGCTACTAGTGGGGAAGGAAGGAAGCAACAAGTGAGCTCTGGAAGAGTGAATCACGCAGCTGATGTCCACATCCTTCCACTTTGTTCCCACAGCACGTGGCAACAACACAAAATGCCTCAGTTCTCACACAGAAGTGGAAAGGGAACTGCTTTTATTTCCCATCTGAATTCGGACTCCCACCATTTCACTTCACAGGTACCTTCTCTGGGTTTGGCTTTTGTAAGAGGCCAAATGACTAACATAGGTAGGAAACAATGACCACGGGGTCCTTCCTCCAGAGACCAGCTGTCCTACCCATGGCACAAGATTTAGGTTTTGACAAGTAGAGAAACACCAAATAAAGAGAGATGCCCAAATTTAGTTATACTTGTTTTGGTATTTTCCTTCTCATTTCCCAGCTCCTGTGTTATAACCTGAACTTTTGCAAGGATTACTCATTGTCTCATACCTACTCTCAAAAAGAAGGCATCAACTTGTTAAAACCTACACTTTCCTCAGTTACACACATTCCCAATTCCAAGGAGGCTTGGATTTCTACAGTAAGAAACATTATGTTCTTCCTCGATATCCTAGCAGTTAAAGGTAGTCACTGCAGGCCAAGGATTAAATTTCATCTCAGTTCTAGAACAGGATTTGAAGAACAGTCAGGTTTCTTTTTCTGACACTCTTTAATATTTTTAAAGAACTTTCATTTGATAGAGCGTCCCAGCTCCTGTGTTATAACCTGAACTTTTGCAAGGATTACTCATTGTCTCATACCTACTCTCAAAAAGAAGGCATCAACTTGTTAAAACCTACACTTTCCTCAGTTACACACATTCCCAATTCCAAGGAGGCTTGGATTTCTACAGTAAGAAACATTATGTTCTTCCTCGATATCCTAGCAGTTAAAGGTAGTCACTGCAGGCCAAGGATTAAATTTCATCTCAGTTCTAGAACAGGATTTGAAGAACAGTCAGGTTTCTTTTTCTGACACTCTTTAATATTTTTAAAGAACTTTCATTCACTCTGATAGAGCGAGAAATAAAATTAAGTAGAAACTGAGAAACTGCACAAGATGGAAAAAGAAATTCTAACCTAGCTCTGACTATAACATGTGTCTCCAACACCTTTTTCAGGCTAGCACATAAACAAATGAGCTTTGAAATAATTAGCGATGAGCTTTAAAATAATTAGCATGTAAAACTGCATCTCACATGAACTAGTTAGACTCTTTAGATAAGTGAAGCAACTGCAGACAAGCCTCTAACCTCATCTGAGAGGGTGACCTATGAGTCAGGTATTTCAGAGGACCTGAAGAAGAGTGGTAGGGTAAACAAACAGATTCCCCACTCCCATCTCTTCCCAAAACTTCATTTAGAAGCATCATGGGTTATGGCATAGCCTGGTCTATACATCCTGCAATGTATGGCCACAGTTCTGTCTTTTCCATACTCCTACCTGGTTGTTCTCACCTCTTTTTTTTAACTATGAGAACGACAACATTTTTTTGAGCAGAAACTAAATGAATTTTCTCTTCAAGTGCTGTTGCTATCTTCTTTACTTTAAATGAAACAGAAATGAGACTGAACTTTGAATGTTTACTACCCTCATTCTTCTACTCCCTCAAGGCTGTTTGCTCGCCGGCATGTGTGGGAACATGTGCAGGAGAGAGCTGACTTGGGTATCTTGTGAACACTTCACAGATCACGTTGTGCTGTCTTATGGACTTCTAGTGATCCAGAAACAAAAGATTATGAAATACCAGTGGGGCAGACAGAACAAAGGAAGCAGAAGAGTCAAGAAACCCTCATTCTTCTACTCCCTCAAGGCTGTTTGCTCGCCGGCATGTGTGGGAACATGTGCAGGAGAGAGCTGACTTGGGTATCTTGTGAACACTTCACAGATCACGTTGTGCTGTCTTATGGACTTCTAGTGATCCAGAAACAAAAGATTATGAAATACCAGTGGGGCAGACAGAACAAAGGAAGCAGAAGAGTCAAGAAGTCAGATTCAAATACCAGTGGGGCAGACAGAACAAAGAAAGCGGAAGAGTCAAGAGGGCTATTCAGATTCTGTTCTCTTTCTCTTGTCAACAGTATAAAACTAGATTATTGCAACTGAATGGTCCCACAGATTTTGTGGTCCTTCAGCATCAGGGATAGGGTACTACAAGCAGTGGCATTCAGATGCTGTGGTTAAGCAGAAAGCTCTCCTTGCCACCAAAAAGGAACTGTGTGCACAGAAGTCTGAAAAGCACTGCCCTAGAGCGCTCATACAAAAACAAACCAAATAAACCAGGACTGTTTACTGCAGTTATCAGCTGTATGGGACACCCAACAGTCAAAATGCTTTCGTGCTGTTACCAGCACATCTTTTTCTCAAAATAAACTCTGCAAGCTACTATGGACCTGCAGATTCCTAAATACCCAAACTGCTGCCCTTGCTATTTTTTCCTCAAAATCCCTTGACGAATACACTGCCTTTCACAAAATACTACTTCTTGTGCTGTAAGACTACTTTTATCATTTTAACCTCTGTCAATGTATTAGAGCTGCTACTCAGACTCACCAGGAAGAAGAGGAAAACAAGGCACATAAAAGTAATGGTTTGGACAGGCATATTCTTTGCTAGATAAAAAACTAGTTGGGTGGTCAGGCTCAAACAGTGAGTGGCAGTGAATGGAGTTAAATCTGTTTGGTACCCAGCCCCAAGTAGTGCTCCACTGGGCTCAGTTTTGGGGCCAGCCCCATTTAGTATCTTTACTGATTATCTGGATGAGGGGTTCAAGTGCAGCCTCAATCAGTCTGCAGATGACACCAAGTTGGTCAGGAGTGTTGATCTGCTGGAAGGTAGGAAGCCCCTGCAGAGGGATCAGGATCTGGATCTGGATTGGCAGAAGCCAATTGCATGAGGTTTAGCAAGGCACGTGCCGGGTCCTGCACTTGGATCACAACAACCCCATGCAGCACTACGGGCTGGAGAAAGAGTGCCTGGAAAGCTGTCTGGCAGAAAAAGACCTAGGGGTGCTGGTTGATAGCCAGCTGAACACAACCTAGCACTGTGCCCAGGCGGCCAAGAAGGCCAATGGCATCCTGGCTTGTATCAGAAATAGTGTGGCCAGCAGCACCAGGGAGCTGATTGTCCCCCTCTACTCAGCACTGGTGAGGTCACACCTTGAGTATTGTGTTCAGTTTTGGACCTCTCAATTCAAGAAAGACATTGAGGTCCTGGAGCAAGTCCAGAGAAGGGCAATGGAGCTGGTGAAGGTTCTGGAGCACAAATCTGATGAGGAACAGCTGAAGGAGCTAGGGGTGTTTAGCCTGAGGAAGAGGAGGCTCAGAGGCGACCTTAATGCTCTGCACAAGTACCTGAAAGGAGGCTGTAGCAAGGAGCAAGACAGTCTCTTTTCTCAGGTAACAAGTAATAGGACAAAAAGAAATGCTTTCAGGTTGCATCAGGATAAGTTTAGATGGTTGGCTCTCTGGGCTGCAAGTGCACAGTGCCAAGTCACGTGGCTGTTAGGGACATGGGTCAGCAGTGGACTGGATAGTGTTGGGTTTGCTCAATGTTAGGTTGAACTTGATGATCTTAAGGGTCTTTTTCAACCCAAATGACTCTATGAGGCTTTTCATTAACTCACAGGAATAATCCCAGTGTAAACATGGTGTGAGACAACAGCCCATCTCCTCTCATCATCCTGTGTACAAGCAGAACCTGAGTAGATCTCCTCTCAAGACTAAAAAGCACAGGGGAAGAATCTTCTCCTGTCAAGAGTAGGATTTTGTTTTCCTGGAAAGAAACCTATGTATCTAATTTCACCAGCTCCATGCTGCTTTTGCATCACCATTTGTGAAAGTCTCTCCCACAGACTGCAAGATGCAATTGCAGCACCATCCTGAAAATGCACATCTAGTACTGGAGTGTATTTCCCAAAAAGGCAGATTATCCAACGCCACAGCCTCTGCTGCTGACCTAGAAGACAGAAGTGCAGTCATGGCAGGGAAAGCTGCTTCTGTAACAAACCCAAAGCATAAGTTCAAATTCGTTTATTTACCACCTTTCCTTTCAAAAGCACTGCAGACTACTCGCCAAGACCCATACATAAAAGGACTATTTATGCCACACGGATGCTGAGCACACTGGCCTCACCACATTTTGCAACAGTATGGTGTACTGCCAAGTAAAACTGAAGAGAAAATGAAGGAAGCAGCAAAAAAACCACTTCAGAATAACAGAGAAAGCAACTGCAACTTGGAAAATGCTATAGTTTCTTTTGCAACAAGTATGAGTCTTTTCAGCTGATGGATCACTGGGCAGGTAGTGCTGCAGGCTACAACAGCTAACCCATGCAGCAGGACCTCAGGGAATGAATGCTGAAGCTTCAAGGGAATCTGCTGAAGCTTCAAGTGCTTCTTTCCAAAAAACAGAGGTTTGCTTTGCAAAATGTCTGATTCTAGTACATCAGCAGCCAAAACTCAGAAGTCATACCGAGTTTAATGCTGCTGAAAGGAAAAAAATTCCCATCTGAGGATATAAAATACAAGTCCACAAGGAATTAACTCTGATTTTAGAACAGAAGACGCCAATCCCATAAATCAAATGTTACAGAGACCAAAAGGGAACTGCACAGGATTTTGAAATATTTTAAAGTTTCCTTTCCGGGCTACTAACTTACATTTAAAGCAACAGTATAGAAAATATCTGCATTTAAAAAAAGTTCGATTTTTACAAAAGAGCTGTGCTACACTGGCCCCATTATCTCCTGGCTATTACCTCTCAGCTATAAACTACAGCTACACAATGGGAAAATTTAGGGCACCATGTAAAACACAAATTTGAAATTTATTAACTTCTCGACTCCTGGCTTAAAGTCCTTCGGGAAGTTAAAACACAAATGCACAAAGTCAGGCTGTTACCCTAGATTTATCTCTCCCACCACAGTTTCAGGGAAACCATGCCTACCATACAGTTTTTGTCATGTTAGTATTTTCTGGTCTTAAAAGCCTCTGACTTCAACGAGATGACAGTTAGGTGATGGTAGCTTCTGCATCCCAGGCCAGGAAGTTTTGCTTGGGTTGCAGCACATTTTTTAAATCAAAACTAGTTTTTAAATATTTTTTAATCAAAATTTTTAAAAATAATCAAAATAAGGCAGGAAAAGACTTTCTTTGGTAATTTACTCCTATTATTTGTCACTCTCAGTACTAAAGAGTTATCCACTATTATCTGTAACAACTTTAATTTCCAGACATTAGCCTTACAGAATTACCTCCAGTGTGCTGTTTCAGCCTCATTAATACAAGCTTATAAGTTCAAATGCTGTTAGCCAGGTCAAGGTTCAAAGTGCTAAGTGATAATTTAAAATAAAGACTTCAAGAAATTACACTGGAGCCAGATATATGGTCCAGCCCTGACTTGTGAAACTCTAAACCTTGCTACAGACTGGCAGTGGCCACATTTCAAATGTGGCAAGACAGATTGCTGCATTCAAAGATAAATGCTCCATGAGGCTTTAGGTATCCTGTTTCCATCATTTTGACTGGTCTAATGAAAAGACAGGTCAACATTTCTCATGAAAAATGTTTAAATGCTTCACTACCTGAAGCTCATTAAAATATCAATCACATGCCATGACAGAAATTTGTAGGAGCAGATTTCCATCAATACCCATTCATCAATATAGTCACTGACTTAAGAACTACATGAATCACAGAATCACAGAATACCTAGGGTTGGAAGGGACCTCTGGAGATCATCTAGTCCAACAGACCCTGCCAAGGCAGGGTCACCTAGAGCAGGTTACACAGGAACACGTCCAGGTGGGTTTTGAATGTCTCCAGAGAGGGAGACCACGACCTCCCCAAACAGCCTGTTCCAATGCTCTGCCACTCCCAATGGAAAGAAGTTTTTCCTCATGTTGAGGTGGAACTTCTTGTGGTTTAGTTTACGGCCATAAAAGCCCTCCTACATTAGGATGCAGAATTTACCAGTAAGACTAGTCTGACTTACCTTTCCCCTAAGGAAATACAAATGCCTCACCAAGTCCCAGCTTGCTGCAGCACCTAATCAGCTGCTGACCTTTGTACAATTATGTCCAGGTGTGTGTTCCCCTCTGAGGATGGTGTTTTGCTTTCCAAACATCCTACTACCTTTCACAGTAGGATATGCCATTAGTAAGGATGTTCGAGTTTACAAATTTAGGCTCAAACCAGCTCTCTTCACAGGCACGAGAGAAAGAAAAGACTCCGTTCTCATCTGGCAGGACCCCTTGACAACCACAATTCTTTCTCAAACACAGAGGATTGAGCTCCTTAGTGTCTATCACTCTACCATTTTATCCATTTTAACAGGAAATAGCTGAGAAGTGTTAGCAAACAGGCCCAGTAATTTTTAACCATTCAGAATGACAGCTTTTGTACGGTTGGGGTGTGGTGGCCCTGGAAGGTGCTTTCGCGTACGATGTCTCGTCATCATTGGAATATGACTAATGTTGTGGAGAGGAGTCCTAGGCTTAGAAGTTGTAGGGAGCTGTGGTGGAACCATAGAACTAGCCCTGAGGCGGTGAGTAGGGAGGTAGCGGCTCCGAAGATGGGCCAGGGGCTGGGGTCTACAAGGTGATATGAGTGTGCTTGGTGGGCCATTAAATGTTTTCTTGGAGGTAGAGGCTTAGTAGGAGGACAAAGACGTAAGCTAAAATTAGGGCTACAGCTACCTCTAGGACTGTAAGTAGAAGCAGGACTGATAAGGTTAGAAGGGACACTGCGGGTATAGTGAGGGACAAGACAGTAGTGGCAGTGGAGATTAGTTGGATGAGTAGGTGGCTGGCTGTGAGACTGGCTGTTAGGCGGACGCCTAGGGCTAAAGTCTTGTTCTTAGATAGCTGATAACAGTTTGCTGGGGGGAGTGGGGGGGTAGGAGAGCTACAGTTTATTCAAAGGTAACTGCATTGCTCATGCTCAAACTCCACTTACAAATGTTCTGCTGAGTCTACATCCAGGTGCTTCTCTTTTCCATTAGGTATACTGTGGTCAATTACTATTGTTTCAGTGTTGGCTAAACAAAATCCATTTGATCGCATGATTTCTGTTGGGAGAAGAAAGAAAACAAGATGAGAATTTACAAAAAAAGCTGGAACACAACTGCATATCATATGTAATTGACACAGCTATGAGCTGAGATGTGGGC